CAGGCAAGGAGATCCAAAACAGAACAAAACAATGATGATTCCGAGGCTGGCTAATGTGCGCCCTGTGCGGAGTGTACGCGCAACGCCCGGCTCCGAGCTGCCTGCGTGCATTCATTGACTTAATCCTTGAGCCAGAAGGGTTGATGTCATCTCTAACACGCACACGAGAAAAATCGAGACCCAGAGAAGTTCCGTGCACAGTTCAGGGAGGTGGTGGGACCTCGAGACACCACTGGGGGGGGGGGGGGGATGAGGGACTGGCTGGCTCCCAGCCTACAGACTTTGCAGCCGGCTACGCCACATCCCTACGTGGAGGGAGTGGAGGGTGGGGGGGGGGGGTGGGGGTGAGAGGGGATGACGGTGGGAGAGACACTGGCTGGCTCCCAGCCTACAGACTTTGCAGCCCGCTTCGCCGTGGCCCTCCGTGGAGAAGCGGAACGATCGCTTGGTGGCAAGACCACCATGTGACGCAGGTGTCAAACATGCAGAACAGGAGAAGCAACAGCGAGAAAGCAGGCAACAGTCTCTGCCGGGAGGTAGAGAGAACCCTGAGGGCAGGGGCGGAGGGGGCTCAGGAGAGATTCTCTCAGAAGAGATGGGCAGCACAAGCGGGCAGCAGATGAGGAGGACGTGGACACCTAAAGGTGACGGGGACGCGGAAGGGCATGTCTGACGGCAGGAACGGCATAAGCAAAGGCACAGGACAACGAGTTTAGGCAAGGGATTGGTACCTAAGGGGACAGGCTGTGTGCAAAGGTGCATTCCACAGACCAAACCTGCCCCCATTCATATGTCTGGGCAACCCTGGAGTACAAACAGTGTCCAACTTGGGATTCTACAGCTTTTGGGCTCCGGAGCACTTTAGAAGCAGCAAAGCATTCGCGGGGAAGGAGGGAGGGAGGGAGGGAGGGAGGGAGGAAGCCTGGCTAGTTCGCACATCTCAACAGGTCAACACTTTGACAGACAGAGCAGGCCCAGGAGCAGGAAATCCAGGCCCAGAGGCAGCTTTTCATTTAAAAGAGAAAAATAATAATTTTTTTTCCCAAAGAAAACTTGGACCCACTCAACAGTTTGCAACAGGGGAGTGACAGGATTGAAGCTGTGTTGACAGGCCCAAAATCTGGGCCTAGTGAAGGGTGGGGGGGGCCCTTCCATCAGTCCGCAGCTCCACAGAGGAAAATAACCTGTCGCACGGAGCCCTGGGAGCCACCAGCGAGTGCGTGCGGGCTCCGCACACGACAGTTTTAGACTCTTCCTCTCACACACCCCCTCGCCATCTGTCGCAAAGGGCACCGGGAAGACGCCGGGAGGAATATTACAGCTCTGGGGGACCCGCAGCCCAGGTTGGGAGGAGACCTCTTTGGGAGCCCACAGATCTCCATGAGGTCATCACCCGGCAGGCCAAGGGGCTGCCACTGTCCCAGAGCACGGCTGTGACCCCGTGAGAGCCGTCGCCGTGGAGGGAGCCCCTTCCTGCTACAAACTGCCCAGCGGGCCTCCCCGTGCTTTCCTGGGCTGGCACAGAACCGGGACTTGGCAAAGCCAGGGAACTCCTCCCCTCCAAGGCCACCTGCCGCAGCCACCACCACCACCACCACCAACATCCCCAGCTACGCCTCAGACGAGTGCCTTCCCTGCTTTGGGGCTCTATTTTCCTCATCTGTAAAATGGGAACCGCGGGCCAAGCCCAGCTTGGCACGGTTGAAGGAGACGCTGCTTGCAGAGAGGCCACTTTGCACGCATCCAGCAACCATTGGTTCTGTCCCCTTCTCTCAACACATGGTTCACATCAGGACTTCATGCATGCTGAATCACTACAAGGAAAGGGATGAATCATGCCAGGAGTCCCCACAGGGTGGGTAAAGGGATCATTAAGGGCAGAAAGTCCCCAGAGAACACCCTGGCTTTACAGGATCTGCCAACAGCTTGAGTCCGTAGTGGCCACAGTCCTCCTGGCCCCGGTGAAAGGTGATGGGAGAGGAGCCTGGTCACTCACAGAAAGGGACAGCAGCCACCAGCCTGACCCTCTCCATCTGGGGTCAGAGGTCAGCAGAGGGCCCAGCTGTCCCCCAGAGCCGGAACTCCTCCGGTCCTGAGTTAGGAGGAAACTGAAGCGTAGGAGGCATCTCCTGCCCCTGATCCCCAATACCCAGAGGCTCCAACACCAGGGTCACCACCCCAGACTCCCAAGGAAGCTATAACTTCGGCCTCAGGCTCTGCTGATACCGCTAAAACCAGCTGCCCAGGTGTCCCTATGCCCGTCTGAGTCTCAGGACCACCCCCGAGAAGGTGAGAAGGTGCTTGCAGGGAGCAGGCCCCAGCTGACCCCCGCCCCCAACCCTAGTCCCCCAAACCCCACCATCCCCACAAAACACAGGGTAGTGACTTCATGGCATCTTCTTTAGAATTTCCCTTAGGCAACATGCAGACGGAACACGATCTTAAGAAACTACAGCCCCTGCCTCCACTCACTCCCCCCACCCCCGCCATCCAAGGTGATCTGCAAGGCCAGCCCCCTTCTGAGAGCAAGCCCAGGGAGCCCCCACGATCATGTGGCAGCACGGGCTGACAGTCTTCTTGGAGACACTAGTATCCATTCAATCCACAGTCACCCTCCTAAGACTGACATTTGAGTTTCCCACTCGAACAAATCCATTTTCTTAGAAAATTGGACAACTGCCTCCTTCTACCTTCGGACCCTCTGTCTTGCCTCTTGTCTGCTTTATCAGAAATTCCAAGCAGGGCACCGCTGAGGGAAGGACCCAAAGCCCCTTCCTTTGGCAAACCAGCTGAATGGTGCGTACCAGAACCCAGTGCGTGGCCAGGACCCCAGGGCAGACAGAGTGAAGGATCTTGGGAGGTACACCCCCATCCCTTCCCCAAGACACGCATTCTTACACACCTGAGATTTATTTATCTCAAAGTTAATCTTGGCCCCTCTGTTGCTCCCACTTTTTCAGGCTATTGATGTTGAATGGATTGGAACGGAAGTTTTATGGCCTAATCTTTACCATTTTATAGATTGTTTTTATAGGCAAAAGGGGGACGATTTGCTCCCAAGATGGGTGTTGGTTTTCCCAGCCAGCACCCCAGGAAAGGCAGATTACCCATCTGTGTCCTGGTTAACCGGCAACACTGCTCCCCTGCCCCACACAAGGATGGTAGCGTCCCGGCCTAGAGGGGTGTACAAGACCGCATTTAGGACCGAACTTGGGATGCTTCCTTGATGTAGGAAAATGAAATGAAGCAGAATGTAGGGGAAAAAATGAAACAAAGCTCAGGAGAGGCAGAGAGAGAGAGAGAGAGAGAGAGAGAGAGAGAGAGAGAGAGAGAGAGGAGAGACAGGAGAGAGAGAGAGGGAGGAGAGAGAGGGAGAGAGAAGAGAGAGAGGATAAAGAGAGAGAAAGAGGGAGAGAGAAAGAGAGGAGGAGGAGGAGGAGGAAGAGGAGGAGGAGGAGGAGGAGGAGGAGGAGGAGGAGGAGGAGGAGAAACTCTCCTTCCTCCTTTCCAGGCCAAGGAGGCTGTAGTCCGGCAGGCTCTCAGACTTTTGCTGGCGCTGGGCTGGCTGGGGAGGAAGCAGCTTAGAGAGGAAGCTCCACAGAGACATGCACCACATCATTGCCCCCTGACGCCCAGAGAGCAGCCCCTACTGATTCCAAAAGACCCAGGGGTGGGGTCGGAGCTTGCCTACGTGAATTCCAGGGGCTCAGGGGAAACTGCGGGCGAGAGAAGCTGCTGCCCACCCCCACTCCTCCCTCCACCCACTCTTTGCTACTTCTCCTTTTTTCCCAGCTATCAGATGGTTACCAGTCTCTCCGCAAAGGCACTGGAGGAAGGGGGGGGGGGGTGGATCCTGAGCTCATCTTTTACCTCCCTCCTCTGGGGAGGGAAGTGCCGGACCCCTATGCTGAGAACACAGTTTCAAGGAGCTGGAAACATAGTAAGATGCTTCTTCTTCTCCCCCACCCCAACTCCGCTCATACCCTTTCTCTGCACCCCCCCCGTGCCCCCCACCCCCCGTTCCCAGGCCCTCCCAGGAGACTCGTGGTCCCCTTTAAGAAGCAGCAGTCCTGAGCGGTGACCTCACCCCTTGGCAAAAACACTGGGGGAGTCTCCGGAGCCCACCTGCCAGAGATAGCCAGGTGAAAAAGCAAGCCAGCCTGGCAGCCGCAGGTAACAGCCCCTCTGAGACACCTGAGCAACAGGGGCCTGCCCGGGGAGACCGGCGGCTGGAGCAGCACCCCCCAGTGTCCAGCCCGGAGGCTGTGGCCACCACGAGGACAGTCGTGTTTTCACAGCAGGATCTGTTGATCGCAGCAGCTCACCCCCAGGCTCCGGGCGGCCGCCCTGGCCCGGCTCCCTCACACACACGGACACGGTTCCACTCTGCCCTCACACACACGGACACGGTTCCACTCTGCCCTCACACACACGGACACGGTTCCACTCTGCGCGAGAGGCCCCTGGCTGAGCACACTCTGCCCCATTGCAACAGCCCGTCTCAGTCCATCCCAGCCACGACCTGGAGGACCTGCTTGCGCGAGGCCCCCTCCTTCGTTCCCACCGCAGCCCGCTCTCTCGGACTCTGGAGTCAAATATGTGGAAAACATGGGGGGGGGGGACGCTTCTGCAGACACGCGGGCACCTTGCTCCCAAAGCCTCTGCCAGGCTGCCCTGGCTCGCTCGGCCAGCAGGCTGGTGGGCAGGGGCTGGCGGAACGCAACTCATCATCTCCCCTAAGTCCCGGTTCCCGGGCCCAAGGCTGTGCACGCAGGGACTAGGGAGCTAGGGCTCCATCCTTGGCTGTGTGACCTTGGGCAAGTGGCTGGCCCTCTCTGGGCCTCGGCTTCCACATCTGGAACCCGAATTCAAGCATCTCTGCCCCCCATCCCCACCCCCCCACCCCCAAACACACACACACACACACACACCCATGACCGCCCGACGTTCTCCCCGCGGCTCCCGGCGGCCGCAGTTGGCGGGCCGGGCGGGGTGCTTACCTGTCCAGGCGCAGGACGCGGCGAGCAGCAGGCAGAGCAGCGGCCCGAGGCGGCCGGGGGCCGGGCCGGCGGGCTCCATGGGCCGCGGCTGCGGAGCAAAGGAGGGAGAGCGGCCGTGAGTGCGCGCTCGGGCGGGCGCGGGCTGGAGCGGGGAAATGACTAAGGCTCCCCCCCCCGCGCCCCGCGCGCTCCGCTCCCCCCGCCCCCCCCACGGCCGGGCTTCCCCCCACCCCCCCGGCGCCCGCGCCCGGAGCCCCCGCCGCTCGCCCCGGCACCCCCGTGCTCGCCCCGCGGAGCGCTCGAGAGCCAGCCGGGGCCGGCCGGGGAAGAGAGGCGCCGCGCCGGGGGGAGGGAGCCGGGCGGAGCACCGGGCCGAGAGCCGCCGCCGAGAGGCGAGCGCGGGGGAGCGGGCGGCGGGCGGCGGGCGGGCGCGCGGGGAAGTGCGCGAGGCGGCGCGCGGAGCAGACGGCGCGGGAGAGGCGCGCGGGAGGGCAGGGGCGCGGGGCAGCGCGGCCGGCCGCCCCCGCCGCGGGGCCGGGGACCGCCGGGGACCGCCCCCCCGCGCGCCCGCCGCCCGCGCCGCGGGGCCTGGGGGAGCAGCTCGCTCGCTCGCGCGCGCGCGCGGGGGGGTCCGGCCCCCGCCCCGCCGCCCTGCGCCCCGCACCCGGCACCCCGCACCCCGCGCCCCGCGGCGGCGGCCCCCTCCGCGCGCCCCCGCCCGCCCGCCCGGGCTCGGACCTGCGCGGGCTGCGCCGCCGCCGGGGGCTGCCGGGGCCCGGGCCCCGCGCTCCACTTTGCGCAAACTTGTTTTTCCTAAGGCCGGCGCCGCGAGCCGGCCGCGGGGTCCCCGGCGCCCGAGGAGGCCGGGGGGAAGTGGAGGCGCCCCGGTTGCGCTCGCCCGCCCGCCCGCCCGCCGGAGGCCCGAGGCCGGGGAGCCGCGAGTGCGCGCGCCCGGGGCCCCGGCGGCGCGGGGTCGGCCTCCAGCCCCGCTCCCCGGGGTCCCCGCCTCCGGGCCCCCCGAACCCCGAGGCCTCCGGCTGCTGGAGGGGTGGGGGGGATGGGGGTGGGCACCGAGGTTTTCCGCGCCGGGCCGAGGTGAAGGAAAAAGCAGGAAGTAAGTGAAATGTAGGGGAAGGGGGGGAGAGGAAGGGGAGAGCGATGGTACAAAAATAGCGTGTGTGTAGGAAGGACTTCGGGGCCGCCTGGAAAAGAGGCGCAGGGAGGAGAGCGAGCGAGCGAGCGAGCGAGCGATGGAGCAAGGGGGCGCTGGCCGGGAACCGGCGGGGAAGGGGCCGGGCCTCCCCGGGGAGGTGGGCGCGCGCGGCCAGGTGCCCCACTGGCTCAGGGGCGGCGCGAGGGGATGAGGCGGGGCTTAGCGGGGTGTGGGGGGCACCGGGGGGCCGGGGAAGGCGAGAGCTGGGGCCAGAGAGGGCGAGAGCGGAGCCTCCTGCTGAAGAAAACAACAACTCTCCTCTCTCCCTCTCGCTCTCTCTCTCCCTCTCTCTCTCTCTCTCCCTCTCCTCTCGCTGTCTCTCCTCTCTTCTCTCTCTTTCCCCCTCCCTTCTCCTCTCCTCTGCCTCTTCCCCCCCCGCCCCCCCTCCCATCCATTCTGGGAATGCCGTCCAAGACCCCCAGCTGATAGGAAGGGCTGGAGTTTGCCTTTGGAAATCAGCAATAAGCAGTGCTTTTGCTTCTCCACGCTTGTCAACAGAAGACAAAAACGCACGGCCAGGGAGAAGGGCCAGCCCTGGAACTGCACAGGGAGCTGAGACCCAGAGAGGGAGTGGGCTTGGGTCAGGAACACACAGCAATTTCTGGGAGTAGAAAGGAGATTGATCCTCGCGATTCCCAGGCTAGAGGCTTCTGCAAAGTAATCTCCCCCTTCCCAGCACCTCCACCCCCCCCCCCCCCCCTGCTCCCCTGCAGCCTCCCTCTCAAATGCCTGATCCTGCTGGCAGGATTTGACCAAACCACATTCCCATTCCCGGGCTCGGACCCTGCCAGTCACCTTCTACCAACTGTGTAGGCTGGAGAAAAATATCTTAGCCTCCGCCCCTCAGCTACATGCCTGAAACGGAGGAGCATGCAAGTGTCGTTCTGGAAGTGCTGGTGTGGGGATTAGATGAATTAATATTTGTACAACACTCCGAAAGCTACCTGGCATGTACTGTGTGCTGTCCGAGCCAGGGGGAAATCATGGGAGAAGCCCCTGAGCACTGTCCTGGGAGGTGCAGGGTTCCAGAGGGGCTGGGAAGTGGCTGGGGCCGGGGCTTCTGTTTCCTTTGGCTGAGACCCTCATCGGGCTCCTTGTCCGTGAGCAATTGACATTCTGGTGGGGAGACAGATAAGTAGACGGGCAGGAATAATTAATGAACAACAGAAGATTGCGCAAAGAGAGCGAGCATTGAGATAAGGGTGAGGGCTCCCTGCAGGGAGTAGGGGCCCCTGGGTGAGGCTCCCCAAGGCGAGCAGGAAGCCGAAGAGACACGGAAAGGCCCTGTTGGCCATGGTGTGAGAATGAGAAAGGAAGATGGGGGCTCAGCTGCCCGGCCTGGAGATCCTGGGGAAGAAACTCCCTTTCCTCTTCAGCGGAAATCAGCTGGCCTATTATTGTTTTGTTTTGTTTTGTTTTGTTTGGGTGCCACAACTGGTGATGCTCAGGCCTGACTCCTGGCTCTGTGCTCTGAGATCATTCCTGGCCAGGCTTGGGAGACCATGTGGGTTTGGAGACCATATGGGATGTTGGGGATCAAACCCACGTCATCCCTGTGCAAGGCAAGCACCCTGCCTGCTGTATTATCGCTCCAGCCCCGTCGCCGATGTGGTTTAAGCAGGGGAGCCCTGTGGTCGGATTTGTGGAACCCACCTGTTCAAAGGCCTCTGTGGCTGCAAGTGGAGACCGGGCTGGAGGGAGTAGGCCTGGGTCCAGAGTCTCGGTGGGGGGTGGGGGTTGGGTTCTGGATCTGAGATGGAGCATAAGGAGTTTTCAGTTCTTTACCCGCTACTGCCTGAGACCACCAAGAACACCTGCTGAGCCTCCTGGGGAAAATTCAGCCCTGCCCCAGACCGGACCCCTGCCCTGTCCCCCAGGGTTGCTGTGACAGGGTCCTTTGGTGAAGGTCAGAGACAGGATCTCCCCTGACCTGTGCTTCCAGAAGGCTCTGCTGTACGTTGTTCCCCAGCACGCGCGTGCGCGCGCGCGCGCGCGCGCGCACACACACACACACACACACACACACACACACACACACACACAGCCTGGGATTAGGAACCTGCGGATTAGGGTGGGATAATCGAAGCACCTGCTATTTATATACAGCCCCATTTGCAAAGGCGCCCAACGTAAACCTCCAATCCAGGGGATGCTTTCACGGTCCCCTGTGGACTATGGTCCAGCTCATGTAGAAATCCCCTGGGCTGTCCCTCAGAGCTAGGCGACAGCAAAGACCAATGAGAACCCAATACCCCAAGGTTGGGAAACAATTTGCCTGAGGTCACACCGACAGATTAGAGCAGATAATTGAGGTGAATCAGCCTCCGTCCTGGGCTGCCCTGGATTAAAGCCAAATTGCCTTCGTGCAGCAACCATTCACTCGTGTACCCCACAATATTTCTGCGGCATCGACAGTCAGGGCCTGGGGTGCTGGGGACTGGGGGAAAGAAAGCAGTGAGGCAGGTGGGAAACCAAAAAAAAACCTTTCAGAAGGAGCAAAACTTTTGGGGGGCTATGCCAACAGAGGGAGAGAAAATATTTTGTCTGCTGGGATCAGGTTATAGGGGGGCAGTCCTGGGACCTCCCCATATCTGCTTTGTGTCTGGACTCTTCTGTACTTGGGCCGTCAACACGCCCTGCGGACCCCTTGTCTCATCCAGAGCCCGACCCCTTTTCTGCGGAGCCTTGGTCACCTTCGCCTCCTCCCGTGTCCTCTTTCCATCCTCGGGCCCGCTCCTGGGGCTCCAAGCTGGCCTGGCAGCTCTGCAACCAGAGGGATCTATTTGCAGAAGCCGGCCACATTCCTCCCTATTGTCCCTGGGACCTGCGGGAGGGAGAGCAATCTTGAATGAGCCCCAGGAGGGAGTCAAGATTCTGCCAATTTGACTGATGTGACCAGGGAGGGGACGTTTGTCTAAGCCTCTGCCTCTGCATCTGTAAAATAGGAAGAACTGGGTCTGCCCCCTGAAAGGGGGCCTATCTCGGGTACCCATCCAGGAGGGAGCCCGTTTGGCCACCAGGGCTGGGGGGGATGGTGCTTCTGTGGGGGGGGGGGATGGCGCCCCTGTGTGGAGGGATGGGCCCCTTTGTGGGGGGATGGGCCTCTGTGTGGGCCAGGCTGGAGCAGTGTCCTCTCACCCAACACCCTGTATCTCTGCTGTTCCCAGTGGCCAGGAGCTGCCTGTGAGGCAGAGAGGAGCTGTGGGGGTCTGTGGGACCCCGTGGGGGGACCAGCTCTGCTGGCAGTGGCCCTGTCCAGGCTCCCCCTCTTCCCAGTCACCCCAGGCTGGCGGGCGGCAGGCAGGCAGGCCCGCCAGGCGGCCTTTGTGTGGGGCCGTCAGGAGGCTGGCGCTGCCAACGACCTATTTTTCTGGGCAAGAGGAGTCCTTTGGAGTTAGAGGCTCAGCTGTGGAGCCAGAACAACAAAAATAAAACCAGCGAGGACTCCCGGGCAGCCGGGACCTGGGAAAAGGCCCGTCCCCCGACACTGGCTGGAGAGGGAGCGGCCAGGGGGCCGTGGAGGGCCTGTCCTCCTGGGTCCTGCTCAGTGACTCCCCTCTCTGAGGTTCATACCCTCCGCCACCACATAACAGGCAGCATCAGATGCTCGGAGGCCTGGAGGACCTACCAGGCTCCGGGCAAGATCTGAACTCCGTCCTCCAACAACTCCGTCCTCCAACACACTGCCATGTGCTCACTGCACGTGAGAGGCTCGTTCTTGCCGTTTGCAGGGTTTCTGGGAGGTGGAGGAGCCTAGGTCCTTCCTCCTACCAGAAAAACTCTCCCACAGCCTCTGCTCTCAGGCCACAGCCTCCAGTGCTCAGCCCCCGCCGTGGCCGCCCCATCCCCGTGGCCTGCGGCATGCCCTCCATATGGTCCCTCTTGATGTGATGCTGCTTTTGCCCTCCTTGACCCTCCCTGGTCGGCCGCCTGCCTGATGGCCCAGGGCCTGGCCCTGGAGGCACATCCTGGGATGCAGGT